GGAGGAGGAAGAAGAAACGGTGGTGGAGGAGATGGAAGTCCCCTTCCGTGCACTTTCTCCTAGCCCCTCCTCATCCTCATCGCCCACTTCCGCCCGCGGGGTCCTTCTGCGACCCACATCTCTGCAACAAGCCGAGACAGATCCTCGCGCAATCGCAGGGGGCAGGAAGAAGGGGCGTTTGCGAGCACGCTTCCCTGCGTCTCCCTGCTGCTCTTGCCGCTGCACCTGCCGCTGCCGCGGCTCCTGCTCATCCACGTCATGCTCCTCTTCCTCTTACTCCCAGTGTCTTGCCAACTTCGTCGTCGTAGTCGTCTCCATTCTCCTCCTCCTCCTCCTCCTTCAGCTCCAGCTCCAGCTCCAGCTCCAGCTCCACCTCCTCCTACTCCTCCTCCACAGCATCAGCATCAGCATCAGCATCAGCATCAGCATCAGCATCAGCATCAGCGTCATCATCATCATCAGCATCAGCATCAGCATCAGCATCATCATCATCATCAGCATCATCATCATCGTCATCATCAACATCATCATCTGCATCAGCATCATCATCGTCAGAAGCCTCAGCATCAGCATCAGCATCATCATCATCATCATCAGCATCAGCGTCCTCGTCATCATCATCATCATCATCATCATCATCATCATCATCATCATCATCAGCATCATCAGCATAATCATACTCATCGTCATCGTCATCATCATCATCATCATCATCGTCATCAGCATCATCATCATCATCATCATCATCATCATCATCATCATCAACACCAGCACAAGCATCAGCATGAGCGTCATCATCGATATCATCACCATCATCGTCATCAGCATCATCAACATCAGCATCAGCATCATCAGCATAATCATCAGCATCAGCATCAGCATCAGCATCAGCATCATCATGGAAATGAGCATGAGCATGAGCATGAGCATGAGCATGAGCATGAGCATGAGACTGAACATCATCATCATCATCAGCAGCAGCATCATCATCACCATCACCATCACCATCACCATCACCATCACCATCACCATCACCATCATCATCAGCAGCATCAGCATCAGCATCAGCATCAGCAGCATTATCAGCATTATCATCATCATCCTCCTCCTCATCATCATCATCATCATCATCATCATAGATCAGCATCATCATCCCGTAGCCATTTTGGCTCAAGAGCCACGTCGGAGTGGCAGCGGTTTCCCCGTTCAAGCTTCGCGCTGTTCGGGCAAGTTCCACCGCAGTTGGCCCGTTCGAGCCTCGCGCTGTTCGGGCATTCATGGCAGTCGCGGCGCTGGACGCTGCTGCCGCCCTGGCGCCACTGGTTCGAGCGGCAGCCGAAGGCGCGGCAGCAGGGGGCGCTGCGAGGCACGGCGTCGCGGCCGCCGTGGCCGCCGCGGCGCGCGTCGGTGCTGAGCTGATCGGGGGCTGGGCTGCAGATGGAACTGGCGATGAGGAGGACGCCGAGCTCGCCCTGCGGCTTCGGGCCATCTGGCCAGCCCTGGCGCGCCTGATCCGCGGCGCGAGGGCTTCGGGCGCCGAGCGGGCGACTCGAAACATCGGGGCCCACGCCTTCCTCGGTGAAGGCGCCGAGGTCCTCGAGGCCGCGCTCGAGCGGCCGCAGGCCAGCCAGCGCCGCGGGCGGTCTGGCGCCCTCGCCCCAACGGATCTGGGGGTTCTCAGCCATCCTCCCCCTGAGGCGGGATTGCGACCCAGCCTGGAGGCGATGCGCCGTAGCATGGCGCCGCCCACGGACGAGTGTGGCTACAGCGGCAATGCGAAGAACGACGATGACGGCACCAGTAGCTTGTGGACGAGCAACAGCACGTGCAGCTGCACAACCAATACGAGATCAAGTACGGCATCGGCGACGACGAGCTCGAGGGCTACGACGGCGATCGCGGGCCTGATGGGGTCAGGTTCGTCCAAGCCCGAGCTCGGTGAGTGCGCCGGCGACGGAACTCAGGACGAAGATTCCAGTGCGCTCGGGGCGGGAATGGGAACCGCATCTGCGGAGGGGGTCAGCGTGATCCCAGCCTCGCCCCCAGCGGACGACGCAAGGCACGTCGACGACGACACCCTCGGCGGCGCCTGCACGGGCGAGGACGGTCTCGGCTCGGGCGAGGTGCAGGTGCCCCTCGGCACCCAGCACGACGAGCCGAGCGATGTGCAGGACGAGGGCGAGGACGAGGAGTGCACGGACGCGAGCCTGAGCGCTGGCGTTGGTACGGCGCCAGGCGTCAAACGAGCGTCGGCCAGGCGGCGGCGGAGGCGCGGCCGTCGGCCCACGCGGGAAGGACCGACGGCGTCGGCCGCCGCACCTGCGAGCGCACGGGCACTCGAGGCGACGGAGGCAGCCGAGCCCGCCACGTGCACAGCACGGAGGACGGCTGCGAGGCGGGGGAGGGCCGAGACCCGCGGCGCTGCCTTCGTCCCCGCGGATCGTGTGCGGTCGGCGCCTGAGTCGGTTCCTCCGCCCCTCGCCTCTGGAGCGCAGTGGAGGCTCGAGGAGCTCGGGCGGGACGCCGGCCCGGAGGCTCCCGGCGCCTGCCCGCCGACCAGGGCGGTGAAGGAGGCAGAGTGCGAGAGGGACTCGGCCGATGCGAACGGGTACGAGCTGCACGACTGGCCCCGGCAGCACGTCAACGCGCGGCGATGGCTTCCTCGCAGTGCCCGAGCGGGAGGAGCCTGAGAGGAGCCCACCCGATGAGGGCGGTGACGAGCATCACGACGACGAGGCTGAAGATTATGAGCCTCTTGGCAGCGACCCGTCGGAGTACGCGGTCGAGCACGACGGGCGCGTGCAGCCAGTCGCTGCACAGCAGGGCCTCCAGGAGGAGGTCGGGATCGGCTCTGCGGGCCCCACGAGGGAGGTGCACGTCGAGGAGGGGTGCACGTTCAGGGCGGACGCCGTGTGGGGCCGGCCGGGAGGAGCTGGAGGCAGAGGACAAGGTTGCATCGGAGCCCGCTTTCGCCGAGGCGCCGATGCGCGGGTACACCCAGGCGGTCTCCGAGCAGCAGTCCGACGTCAACCAGCAGCGCGACTCCGAGCAGCCCGAGGAGCAGCAGCAGTTCCCTTTGGAGCGGGTGGAGCCCGTAGCGCTGCGGGCCAGCTACAGTGGGCTGTTGGCTGGGGCTCGCGCCGCCTTAGGCGCGAAGCTGCGCGCAGCCCGCGAGGCGCGCGGCAGGCGCTGACGGGCGCGATCTGTCCCGGCAACTTTCTCACATTTCTTCTGCCGCGCTCGCGCGGCACTCTGCCTTAATGCAGCTGTGGCACCCTGCGGCTCGGGACCCGTCGGTCTGCCGAGCGCGGTGCCGTGTGCTGGTGGCGCCAAGTGGGCCCGAGGATCACGAATGCCTGCTCTGTCCGTGCCGTTTGGCATGTCAAGCGGAGAATGAACCGACGTTCTGGATCGAGCTCCGCAAGCACCAGCAGAGCAACAATGTCTGTGCGGCCTGGTGCCCAAAGGCTGTGTTGCTCTGCCGTTGTGCACTGCTAGCTGTTGCTCGGGCCGTGCACTGCGCTTGCATCCTGCAGCCTTGCTGCGTACCAGCCCGCCTGTCGTGTGCACTGTTCTCGCGCCAGGACGGTGGCCGAGGGAGGGAGGGAGGGAGGGAGGGAGGGAGGGAGGGAGGGAGGGAGGAGGGAGGGAGGGAGGGAGGAGAGGAGGAGGAGGAGGAGGAGGAGGATGAGGAGGAGGAGGAGGAGGAGGGAGGAGGAGGACAGCATAAGTCTAGCGGATCGCCTCCGAACGCCATCGCAGAGCAAGGCTGTCCCAGTGTGCGGCCTGGGCCAAAGGGGACTGTTGCTCTGCCTTGGCGCGCGTGTGCTGCTGTGGCGGGCCGAGTCGCCGTGGCTGCTCGGATGCCTTGACTGCCGCTTGCTTCGGCTGGGGCGGCGGGCGGCCTCTTGGCACTCAGGTGAAGCTGCGAGGGCGCCCTGAGGCGCACGAGACCGAGCGTTGCCGCCGCAGGGCCAAAGGGAAGTGCCTCGGTCCGAGGGGCAGTACGAGCTAGGAGCTCCTGACCCCTTCAGCCGCGGGGATCATCATCAGCGTCATCATCAGCGTCATCATCAGCGTCATCATCATCATCATCATCATCATCATCATCATCATCATCATCATCACCATCATCATCAGCAGCAGCAGCAGCACCACCACCACCATCATCATCATCATCATCAGCAGCATCAGCATCAGCATCATCAGCATCAGCATCAGCAGCATCAGCATCAGCATCAGCATCATCATCATCAGCATCATCATCAACAGCAGTAGCAGCAGCAGCATCAGCATCAGCATCAGCATCACCATCATCATCATCATCATCATCAGCATCAGCATCATCATCATCATCATCAGCACCACCACCACCACCATCATCAGCATCAGCATCAGCATCAGCATCAGCATCAGCATCAGCATCAGCATCAGCATCATCATCATCATCATCATCATCATCAGCATCTTTCCCCCTGTAGTCTCCGTATCCCCTCGCTCCCGCCCGACTCCCTCCTCTCCCTCTTCCGAAGCCGCCTGGCTTGCCCAAATAACTACCCCGTGCCATCCCCCTCCCTCTCCCGCTCCCCCTTTGTATTTTTTTGTCTGTCCCCGACCCCCCCCTCCCACAAGTCGTTGTCCTCGTTCTCCAGGCGTGTCAGCCACAGATGATGGGGAGGCGGCGAAGAACGAAGAGGCTCTGCATGCTTTGAACAGCCTAAGCCCTTCCGCTGGGGGCACTGGCCGGCGACCCGCCCGAAGCTCAGGGTGCCATGCGCAGGAGGGGCCAAAGCCCACTCCTCTCCTCCCTCCTCCATCCTTCGCTCCTCCTGCCTCCTCTCCCCCTCTCGCTCGCCACCTCGCTCGTCCCCTCGCTCGTCCCCTCCTGCTCTCAGACGCGCGCGCGCGCGTACCGAGTCTCACTGCCGCACGTATCTCAATGCAGAGGGTGCGCCCGCGCGGGTGCAGAGTGGTGTGTCCGAGCTTGGCCTCGTATGCCATGCAAAATCAATGGAGTGGTTGCGTGCCGACCGCGTGCCGCCCTGAGGCCGCGACTCCCGAATAACTCGCCCGAGATCAGTGGGGCAGCGGGGAGCCGGCTGCCGTCGGTGCTCACGGAGACCCCCCGGGGTCGACCGCTCCAGCAGCCACGTCCTCTGAAAACCGTCATCCCCTCCGTGGCCAGCGTGCGGAGAACAGATTGCTGTACTTCCTCCTCCTCCTCCTCCTCCTCCTCCTCCTCCTCCTCCTCCTCTCCTCAGGGGGGGCGGGGAAAGGAGGAGAAGGCAGCGGCGGACGGAAAGCGGCAGGAGGGGCAGGAGGAGAAGGCGGGCGGCAGGAGGGAGGGGGAGGGCAGGTTCCAGGGTGCGTGGGCGAGGGGGGGGAGGAGGAGGGGGTGAGGAGGAAGGGGGAGGGCCGACGGAGAGGAGGAAGGGAGAGGAAAGGGTGCCAACCTCCGACCGACCCGCAAGGGCCCCCCCACCCCGCTCTGCAGTGAAGCCCGAGACTCGACGGGGGCCAGCAGCTTCGCGCACCGGGCCGAGCGAAGCGCGCCTTCTCTGCGCGGCCTCGCGCGCCCACTCGCGAGGCACACCTCTGCGCCCCAGACCGCGAAGCGCGGCTGCCTTTGCGCGCACCCCATGCGGGCGACCTGCGGCCTAAGGGAACATTCGCCGGCCCAACGTGCCAGAGGCGTGCTAAGATCTCTGGTAACAGGTAAACAGCACTTCTAGATCTACATAATCAATATACATATATACGTGTATAGATATGGAGACATATAATTTTATGCAGTCCCTACAGATGACCGCGTATACATATATATATATATATATGTATATACATATATATATATATATATATATATATTCGATATGTAGATCGATCGATAGATATATAGATAATTCGATAGATCATAGTGAGGGGGCCGAACGGTCATTCATTGTCCCTGGGTGCGTGGCTCTAGTGGGGATCCGTGGTGAAGATTCTGCTTGTTGCGTTGTTGTTGTTGCTGTTGTCGTCGTCGTCGTCGTCGTCGTCGTCGTCGTCGTCGTCGTCCCCCCTGCGATCTACCCCGCGACCCACCCGCGACCCACCCCGTGACCCGCCCGCGACCCACCCCGTGACCCACCCACCCCGCGACCCACCCGCGACCCACCCGCGACCCGGCCCGCGACCCACCCGCGACCCCACCCGCGACCCACCCCGCGATCCACCCACAATGCTTTAACGAAAAAATCGGCGCCTGCGGCGGGCTCAATCAATAATTTACAAAAGTTAGGCGCCTGCGGCGGGCTATTCTCCAGAGCCTCGCAGACTGAGGACGTCCTCGCAGCCCCCTCACTCTTATCCGCAACTGCGGGGTGTTACGCAGATACTGCGCGCGTGCGGGGCGGCCCCTGATGGTCCCTGGGCGAAAAACACCCCGGGCAGGTCCCGGGCAGGGTCCCGCCAGAGATGGTTTTGCTCCCGGGCGCCGCCCTCGGGGCCTCCCAGAGAGCCCCAAGAAGAAGCAAGAGACCCCCAAGAAGCCACCGAGATGGTCCAAGAGAGCCCCGAGACGCCATAAGATCGCTCCTAGACGCCCAAGGTAGCCTCCAGATGGCCCACGAGGCCTCCGAGACGCCCCAAGAGGCCTCCCAAACGAGTCCCAAGAGGCAACATGCATTGATTTTCCATTGGTTTTTGAAGGATTTTCGCGCTTTCGCCTTTTCAGCTTCCCGACGCTCCAACGCGGCCCAGAAGGCCCCCAAGACCGCTCCAAGACGGCCCAGGGATCTCCATGAGGGCCCCCAAACAACCCCCCAAAATAGCCCAAGAGGGCCCCAAAGCTGCCCAAGAGGCCTCGAAGACGGCCTAAGAGGCCCACGGGGTGGCTCCACGAGAGGGCCCAGACAGGGGGGACCCGAGCGGCCATTTCGAGCCCCTTGCCCGAGGAGGCCGCGGCCCTCGTGGTGATGCCCCCCCAGGAGGTCTCAAAAATACCGCCACGAGGCCCCCGAGAGGCCTCCCACCCGAAAGCAGGGTACAGTCAACCCGGATAGTAAGGATGCGCGATAAGGATGCAAGGGCCTTGGACGCCCATTTCGAAGCGTTTCGAACGGGGCGGGGCCAACGAAAGTGTCCACGGATGGACCCAGGAGGCAAGGATGCAAGGGTGCCCTTGGGAGGGATGCCTATCCATGCTATGCGGGTCGACTGTACACAGCTTGCACCGGAAGGCTCAAATCTTCAGACTGCCCCCAAGCCGGACATCCACAGGGGACATCCCCCACACCAGCCTGAGCTGAACGCCCACATGCCTCGCGCACCGCGGAGGCCCGCAACAAAACCCCCCAGAGGCAGCTCAACAACAATTGCTTCAGCTCGAACGCTCCCCGCGCACCGCGCCAGAGAACAGCCTCCGCTCAACAAAACCATATCGACAATGAATATACGGGGAAACGAGAGCCGTCGAACAGTATAGGCTGGCGGAAAGAGCGAAGCGATTAAGGAAGCAGCGCTCCCCCCCTCTCTGCCCGCAGTTCAAGACTTTGGCACGTTTACGCATCACTGGTCCGATGTACCCAAGCTCGGAGGATCCGAACCCAACATTGCATTCGGCGGGAGGGTGGGGGGAACTCAAACCACACGCTGCGCATGCGTGCTGCGTGCGTACCAGGAAGCCGAAATCAATGAAGGCTGAAATCAAAATGAACACAATGATCGGAGACTGGGTAAAATGGAAAACTGGGCGGGCCAGCGACAAAAGCAATACACTCAGGCCATCGGCCCAGACGAGGAATCAAATCTTCGGGCCAGTGCTGCAATCAATTCGTTCAATCCGACATCATGCGTCTTCTGGTCAGCCAGCACCACATGGCCGCGTGCTTACGAGGGCCATCAAACAAATCAAAAAGGGAGTCCATAGCGCGCGGCCTTGCGGGCTCGGGCCGAAGACAAAACTAGCGGCAACGAGCGAAAACAAAACAACGCGCAGAAGCTTTTCCAGCCACGGTGCAGGGCTGCCGCTGAAAACGTTGAAACAAGCGCAAAAAACAAAATCAATACCCAGCTGAGCAAATTCAAAACCCAGAACGCTGCGCGAAAACAGCCCCTATAGCGGTTGAAGAGCCTGCGGGTGCGTTCGCCTGCGTGCCGCCAACGTGTCAATCATGAAAACATAACAAACTCAATGCGAACTTCAAAATCCAA